CTTAGTGAATTACTTACTCATTTAAGTAAAGTAGTATTTTTAAAATCAAAAATAAGGTCAGATTCATTACGGCGAGCAACTAATGCATTTAAAGTATCGTTTTGTAAAAGATACATTTTGTGTTCATATAACTTTTTATTTAAATTGTTTGAGGATTCTCCTGTGTTCCTTATGGCAATTATTGTAGGTGATAGAATAAATTCCTCCTTCAAGTTGTAATCTATTATCATTTTTATTTTCTATTAAGTCTTTTATATACAAATTATATACCGTTTCCCAATAAGAATTTTAAATGATCATTTTAAATCTTTCATCTGTATTATTTATTTTAATTCAAATTTTAAACAATTGCCATAATAGCTTTCTCTCGTTTAAGTTTTTTCTTACTCGTGTTCGTCCAGAAAAGAATTATATATGTTTTGTCAAATGTCAGTCATTAGTTAACAAAAAAAAATCAGTTTTTGAATTAAGAAGTCTGCTATTTGTCAATGCATTGAATATTGCTGCCATATCTAGTCTGGTTCTTCCGCTATGCCTTTAGAGATTCTTCATGAACTACAAAGATGAATCTGCAAGGTTTATTGTCCTGACCTGGCATCTCGGCTTCAGTCAGTTTCCCCACTGTCTTTCCCGCTGTATCTTCCCTGTGTCTTGTCTATAAATATTTTCATAGTAATTGTTCCGGTGAACTTTCCTCTTCGATATTCCGACTTCAGTAATTTTAGCGCAGCACTAGATTGGCGGCAAAGTCTCATTATTTTACAGTTGAAAGGGATAGATGTAAACATAAGTTCTATGTTAACATATTCTTCTTTCGCACTACTTCCTTGTGGAACTCTCTTCCGGTTTATTACTTTCCAGTTAACTTTGATGTTGTTGTGGTAAACCCAACTACAGTAGAATGAACTCTTTCTCCTCTCGTAAATACTAACTGCGAGACTTCCTAGAGGAGAGTCGTGATCAGTCGAGACGCAGTCTCTTACTGTGTGGGACTTCTGTCGAACTCTCTGCCTTAGGACAGAGGAACCCGGACGAAGCTTTGCTGAAAGGCAAAGTTTCGTCCGGGGAGGTAGACAGATCCCGAACCCGTTTATGCGGGTTTAAAGGGAATATTTTTGGTCGAACCTACGGGCTCGGAGAAACCCACGTTAAACTCGGCCTTGTGCCACATACATTCCTCGGTGGGGACTGTTAAATATAGAGTCGTAGGGCAGCCGAGACACAGTCTCTTACTGTGTGCGACTTCTGTCGAACTCTCTACTTTGGCAGAGGAAGAGGAACCGAAGGGCGAAGTTTCGAGGGAGGTAGACAGATTTGAACCAGAAGGGGGAAATTTTTTCGTCCAGGGAAGGTAAACTCGGCCTTGTGCCACATACATTCCTCGGTGGGGACTGTTAAATATAGAGTCGTAGGGCAGCCGAGAACCAGTCTCTTACTTATGACTTCGGGTTCAAAGGAAATATTTTTGGCCGAGCGTCTAGGGGCTAGACAGAGAAACCCGGGTTTAAAGGGAATATTTTTGGCCGAGACCCTTGTGAAACCCACGTTAAACTCGCCCTTGTGCCACTTACATTCCTCGTGGAATGCCCTACGACTCTATATTTAGAGTCGTAGGGCAGCCGAGACGTACACCTCTATCTACTTATTACTAACACACTTGCTTTGTGTATATCTTCAATATACTTGTTCAACCTGCCTTCATCTTCCGTGTCTTTCTTTCTGGCCCCTAAACAGGCTACAATAAATGTTCAAAGATTTCGAAATGAACAAATCGAGAGGAATTCATTTTTCACATCATCAGTGGCTATCATTCTGGATCTAGGCATGATTTTCCTCCCTGTAGATTTTCTTAACAGAACCATTTCTTATTACTAAGTATTTCCTTTTATACAATAGATTATTTTCAGTTTAAGATGTTGAAATTCTGGACCCCGAACTACCACCAAGCACGATGAATGGATGGACACTCGGGAAAGCTCCGTAACTTGAGAGACCCTTGTGCCTTAAACAAGGAAGAACAAGTGGAAATCATACATACAGTCTATCGCCAAATCGTCGGTTCTCTGTACTTCTCCAATAAGTACCTGACTCCTCGTGTTTTTACAAGAGCTAGATCAGGCCTAAAATGGTGTACTACTGGGCGGGATCTGTCCAGCCATCATTTTCCAGTTTCGATAGAGTTTCAAAAGTGTCTCAGATTCCGTGTGAGTGACAAATTATATTCTACCCTCTAACCTCCCTCTCTCTCTCTCTCTCTCTCTCTCTCACACACACACACACACACACAGAGGCGGGATGTGGCAAGCCTCTCATTGATCTATCGGTACTTCCATGGAAAGCGCTGGACGGAATGCATTTCTTGGTTCAACCAGTTCTGACCTTCAGTGCCAGGATCCGCCTAGACACTCACATTCTAGCGAACAACCTACATTTTCTCCGTATTCCATGGATGAGAATGAAGTTCCACTCGAACAGTTTCCTACTGTGAACAACTGCTCTGTGGAACCGACACCTAAATGGATATTTCCTCGATCCCTACAACCTTAACGTGCTCAAGGTTTAACCGTAATCTTCCTCTCGTATTCCGCATAAAGTTTAACCCCCAAGCCTTGTACAGAGTAACTATTACTATAAAAAAAATTAGTGCTCGAACGAACTACATTCTTTGGTTATGCCAGTTCTAATCTTCATGTCCAGGAACTGCCATGACACTTACATAGAAGCAAATCACCCATATTCTCTTCGTATTCCATCGGTGAAAAGTATGTTCCACTCGAACAGCTTCTTCCTGCGAACAGCTGCTCTGTGGAACCGACACCCAAGAGGATATTTTCCCCGATCATTACAATCATAAACTGTTCAAGTCTATGGTTAACCGCTATCTTCCCCTCCTATCCCTATAAACTACCCCTTATCGTAACTCTCTACTTTGAGTGGCTCCAAGGCCTTGTACAGGGTGAACCTTACTATAAAATGAAAAAGGGAGGGGTTGTCTACAACTTCCTATCTCTTGTAGCTCTTAGAAATGTTTGTTTTTGATGGTGATTTTTTTCTTCTATGTGCCGTCTCCCTCCAGGATTTTCTGCCCTCCCTCCTCTCTCTCTCTCTCTCTCAGAGACGGGATGTGGCGAGCCTCACACTGCTCTGTCGCTACTTACATGGAAAGTGCTTGGATGAACTATATTCCTTCGTTCCGCCTGGACTAATCTTCTCGGCTAGGAGCCGCCATGCCACTTACATTGTAGCAAACAACACACATTCCCTCCGTATTCCATCGGTGAGAAATAAGTTTCACTCGAACAGCTTCTTCCCGTTAACCATTGCTCTGTGGAACAGACTCCCAAGAGGGTTTTTTTTCTCTGATCACTACAATGGTAACCTGTCTAGGGCGAACAATTATCTTTCCTTCTTATCCGCAAAAACTGAATCTTATTACAACCCGCTACCTCTAGCTCATCCGGGTTTTGTAGAAGATAAACAAAAAAAAAAAAAAAAAAAAGATATGAATATTCTTTGTGGATTTTCGTAATAAACCCATTTTTCATGTTCAGTAAAAAACATGTTCTCCAGCAAATTCTTAGTTTGAGATGTTGAACGCTGTCACGGATGTAGCCATGATTTTCTTCGTTTTAGATTCACGTAACAAATTCATTTTTCATCACCACTGATTATTGTGTAGATTCTCTTTAGATTGGGATATTGAAAGCTGACCCAGATTTAGCCACCATTTTCTTTGTTTTGCAGTTTACCTAACCACTTATTTTTCGTCGTCATTAACTTGGGGGGGGGAGCGCTTATTTCTTCTGCGTCGAGTAAGAAGAGAAAGTTAAGCGTTGAAATATAAACCAATGTTAGTTATTGTAAGGTCAATCAGAATGTCTTCTTTCCGCGCTTGTGAACGATGTACTACAGACAAACAATGAGGTGTTGAAAGAGCTTTCCCTAAAATCGTGCAAGAACTAATATGAAGAACTTTTCTGTCAGTATGATATAAAACAAACGAATTAATCGTCTAAGAACCCTTTTTATCTTCCATCAGTTGATGCTAAGCTTCAAGAGAGTGACTTACTTTGATTTCTCGGATTAACGTTTTCAGTTGACCTGAATTATATTGAATCAATTTCTACATCTGCTGCTAGGAAAGTTGGTTCACTGTGTCGAGCTAGACAATTTATTTCACGACAAAAATACATACATATTTAAAAGACTATCATTCTTCCGTGCTTTGAAAATTGCTGCCAAGTATCGTCTGGTGTTGCGGCTATATAATCTTATATCTTAGCCCCTTTTATCGTACTGTCAGCATTGTTTGAAATAATCACACAAGTCACATCTCGACTGTAGTGAGACTGCCAATCCTGAGTCATGCAGTGTTTGTCTAAAACCCAGCATGATAGGTGAAGAATGAATGGGCACTTCGTCATGATCCCAGTCACACAGTACACAAACTCATCTAATATCATCTTACTGCCAAACTGAGTAGCGTAGCTTAATTCTTGTATTTATGTCACTGGATCAAACCAACGCCTTTATCCACTGTACCATGTGTCCTTGAGGAAAGAAACCTCTATAAATATTAAGAAAGAGACCTCCATGAATACAAGAATTAACACAGGACACGTGGAACAGTGGATAAAGGCGTTGGTTTGATCCAGAGACAGGACCCAAAGAGTGTGAGTTCAATACCCGGTTAAGGCAGTGGAGAACTTCCAGAGGGAAATTAACAGGAGATAACTAACAAATGACATCCATTAAACATGGCACGTGAAACTAGAACTGTCTACCCCAGTGAGTGAAATAAAGGTTTCAGTTCGACATTTCAACCACCTGAAGAAGGCCGGATCGTATAACGGCCGAAACGTTGTAATAAATATGGCGACAAAGATGAGGACAATAGTCCGAATAATGTAAATAATGTAAGAACTCTTCCTGGTCGTTGGGTTTTGAATGCCTTTCGTAACTGTTTCAGTAAGTTGACATAATACTAACTATCGATGTCGTGTTTCATTTGAAGATAATCATTAAACAGAATGCCTTGCAGATGAAACGACCATAGCCTTCTTTAGAGCAGGTGAGGAGGGATGTTTCCACTTCATGAACTGTCTCAGTCACTGGCTCAAAGTAATGAACCCAAAATTCGTCCTGAGTTAGGAAACGTTCAAGGAAACCAGCTGGATCTGCCACAAACCTTGTCAGAATTTCATGTGATGGGATCCGCCTGGTGCGCTTTTGATCATGTGTCAGAAGATGTGGCACCCAACGAGCAGAAACCTTCGTCATGCCAAGTTCATTATGTAGAATATTGGCAAAGATATGCAAACAGTCATTGGCTATTTGATTCCACCAACATGTTGTGAACACGATCAATGTTTTCCTCGGTGGTGGCAGTTGTAGTACGTTCAAGCCTAGTGTCATCTTCAAGACTTGTTATTTCCCTCCTAATTTCAATTGCCCGCGTTTGCACTGTTAATAAAGCCAGAGTGTCAGCCTCTAATTTGGCAATCATGTCAGTATGAATGTCCTTGAGTGCTAAACCAGTTTTCTGCAGAGACTTGATAACACCATGATTCTAAATGATGTACATTTTGAAGAGAAGCTGTTACTAGTTACATCTGAAGTCTCCTTTGAACAGTCAGATGTCAGTTTACCTGAAAAAAAACAATGTAGTTATTACTAAGAAGAGTTGAAATTAATTCATGAAAGATTTCACAGCTCTTGCATCACTCCTTCGTAGTGAGCCTATGAACTTTTCAGTCAATCATCATACTTGGAAAGAAACAATAAACTTATTAATAAGAAAAGATGAAATGAATGTACGCAAGATTCCATAGATCAAGCATTACTCCTTCATATTCAGCCTGCGAACATTTCAGCCTACCGGAAAAAGACAGAATGCAGTTATTAATAAGAACAATTGAAATTAATGCATGTAAGATTTCACAGCTCTAGCATTACTCCTTCAATAGTCAGCCTATGAACTCTTCACCCCACCCTCGTACCTGGAAAGAAACAATGCAGTTATTAATAAGAAGAGGTGAAATGCAAGATTTCACAGATCAAGCATTACTACTTCATAGTCAGCCTCCGAACCTTTCAGCCCTCACTCGTATCTCCAAAGAATCAATGTAGTTATTAATAAGAGTTGAAATTAATTCATGCAAGATTTCACAGCTCTCGTCAGCCTATGAAAATTTCAGCCCACCCACATATTAATATTGAAAAATTTGTTTAAAAACATTTTCTCACCTTTAGATGCATTAAATTCTAGTATTTTACTGAACTATTTATTAGTTTTATTAGGCGTTAAAAAATCTGTGTTGTTTCAGGGTTTTTTTTTTACTTTTATTATTATTATTATTATTATTATTATTATTATTATTATTATTATTTCTGGCGTTTGCACATTTCTTTCCGGGTCCCGCCCAGGGACCTAAGCTGAAAAATGGCATCATGACACTTTCCACTGACAAAAAAAAAAAATTACATTGATAAAGCCCTTCGTAAAGTGTGTACTTGTCAGAACAATTTTTTGTATCTCTTTGAGGCATGGACTTCCAGGAATCCCTTCAATTAGTCTACTGGAATCTTTTCCAACCAATCCTAGGTCTCCAACTTCAACAGGGATTGTTGATGTTCCCAGGTGCCGCATTTTTGAGATTTCTATTTCTTGTATTTTGACAGCTTTTTGAATATCTTCAAAGATACATTGCAGTCAGCAGGGACTGCCATATCAATAAGGAGGCACTTTTTTGTTTCTTTTTTATTATTATTATTATTATATGATCTTATATGTAATTATTATTTTTCTCTATAGACACGACAGTTCAGAATACTTTCAACAGACAGTGACATGCTTTTCACAACCGGGAACATATGGAATCTGTTTGCCAATGTATGAAGAAAAATTTACGTATGTGTTCCCTGCAGTTCTACCCTGTCCCGTCTGAGATGAAGGATATTCGAAGATGGTCGTTTGTTCGCTCAACAGACGCCCGTCATCAGCAACAGTTTTTCATAAGGTGTTTGGCACTTGAAATTTAGATGTATTCGTTGTCCCATCTGTCAGCTCAACTGATAGATTTTTATTTTGGGCTGCTGGGTGCTCGGCTCGTCTGATCAAACGTTAATCTAACTGTTTTCTTATGTCAGTTGGTAAGTGTTTGTTTTCATAGTCCGTAAGAAACATATGCTTGAAAACTCGCACAAAACCAACACGTCTGTTTTCTGTTGTGCAGCATCTTCTTCGCAGACCCCACTCCTTCACTTTTATCCCCATCATATCACTCGGCATCATGTATGCAAGTAATATTTGGACAGGTGCTTCAGTTGCCAGGCACAGAAACATTTTAGTTTAATAAAAGGTGCCATAGTATCAATTTCACTTTCAGGTCATAAAGATAACATGCGGAGATGTATTTTTCAGAATGTTGGCTTTTTTAGGGTTCTTCGGAGCTTTTTTTTTTTTAAATATATTCTTTACAAATTGTTATTGGGAAATATATTAGAGTAAATTCCTGTTGACTTTCTAATTGTTTTAAATTCAAAATTTTCTTGTCTTTTTTTTTTCGATTGATCTTCAACCAATACAAGAGCAAACAGGATATCCTTCTATTTAAATTATAGTCACATGTAAGTGAAAGATCTATTTAATTTTCTTTTTCTCAGCTGATTGCTAATCAAGGCTAAAACGCATAGTATACCCTACTATTTAATTCATAGAATCATAGTGGCAAAAAATACATTTAAACCTTTATACGGTCATGGTTCTTCACTATTTCCTTTTCTTCAACATTTTTTAAAAAATTCTTGGAAAAAATATTAGAATTAATTCTTTTTTTTTTTACTTCCTAATCGATTTAAACTCAAAATGTTCTTTTATCTATACTGGTTGCCGACTAAGGCTAAAGCGCACAGTATGTCGTACTATTTAAATCATAAACTCATAGAGGTGAAAGATACATTTAAACAGAGATCATGGCTCTTCACTATTTCTTTTCATTTAACATTTTTGATATAGTAATAATATGAAGTAAACGCTACAGCCTCAACCGAATTTCGAAGTCTGATGATTCCATTTTTTACAATGATAACCATCAAGCCACATATGTGTGCGTGTCTTGTATG